AAAAAAAAAATGCCAAATATCTTCTCTGATATAAGGGAGGGTGACTCAAAATGTGGTAGGGAGGAAGAGCATGGGAAGAAGATTACCTCTAGATAGGGAAGAGAGTGGGAGGGAAAAGGAGGGAGAAGGGGAATTGCACAGAAGATGGAAGGAGACCCCCTTCGTTATATAGAATACAGGTATGACGAAGTGAGGAAAAAGGAAAAAAAAGTGTGTCACATTAGGTTGCGTAGAGAGAAGTGATGGGAGAGGAGAGGAGGGAAAGGGGGGAAAGGAAGGACATCAGAATAAAATAGACTTTATTATTGCTGTGGGTATATATATGACTGCATGACCAATGTGATTCTGCAACCTRTACACTCAGAAAAATGAGAAATTATACCCCATCTGATTCAAATGTATGATATGTCAGGTCATTGTACTGTCATGTGTAACTAATTAAAACAAATAAAAATAAATGAATAAATAAATAAGGGGGTACAATTATACTATAATCAAAATGGTAACTTTGGAACAAAGAATAAATATATCAAATCTCTTAATAACATTAGCCAATGCTATTGAATATTCAAAGTACCATGCACTGTTTTCTTACCCCACATGATTGCATTTAAACTTMAACAACCCCAGAATGAAGTAGTATTAATTTTTTTGTCTGTTTACAAATGGGTCATCTGAGACAATGTTAAGTAATTTGTGAAAGTCACACAATTAATAAAGAATAGAAATAAGACCATCCACATTGCCTCTGTACACCCAAAGCACAAATTCCTGTTCATTATTTACTGAACTGTTTTTAATAATACATTTTATTAAGTTCATAAGGAGTTCATTTTCTATGACTTTTTAAATGTATACCACATCCTTGGATGCTTAAAAAATGGCTCATTATTTCATTTATTTCGAACTCAGTCTTCCCTTATAATAACAAGCCCTCAAATTCTTTATCTCAGAGATAAAATTTTGAAGGTGTATCAGTAGTTCCCAAACAGTGGAGGAGTAATTCTTTACTTTAAATTTAAAGCGTATGCAGAATTCTGCATTATAATTATTCACCTTTGCTCTTCATTTACTCATTCAGAGATAGCTTACTGAAAAATGGTAAGTTTTACAATAGMTCCCAGGATTTTTGCAGTCTCAGGAGTCCACTGTACTAGAATTATTTCTAATGCCATTGCTAGAAGAAATTTTTTGAGATTTTATGTGTTCTATATTTTAGATTCCTAGTCTCTAATCTGTATTTCTCCCAGGCATAAAAAGGAACATGTATATTCCCCAAGGTTTCTCTTTTGTTTTCCTCCTAAGTTTTCTTTCCATTTTTCAGCTTTGATTCCTTAATAAACAATAGAGCTTGCTTTGCAGAACTCATAATTAATGTTAGATTCTTGTATTATTGAAATRTCTAAAATATATGAGCTAAAATATAATACAAATTTATAGAAACAAGTCTAAAATGTATGAGCTAAAACAGAATATAAATTTATAGAAATATAACCTGTTTTGTGAAAATAATAAAAAAGAAGGGGATTTATATTATTTTTTGAAATTTTGCCAAATTTAAACATTTTTCTGAAAAATTCTGAAGACAAATCTTGATCCTGTATCTTTACAATACCTAGTGAATTGGAAAATTAAAGTACTGTGTACATGTACGGCCCCAGGAATGTATGTCTCTGGTACAAAACAACAACAACAACAACAATAGGGTTTTGGCAGTGGCTATATTTTCTGTTGTGATGGTCTTGATTTCAGCAGAATCAGTTCAGGCCAACTGCTCTACCAGAATAACATAAATCTGCATTTTTCAACAACATTAATCCTTTAGTGCTACACAGAGCTCTTTAGGCATGGTCAAACCAATTCTTAGTTTACAAGACCTTGCTGAAAATCAAACAGCAACATATGAAAAGTGATAGAATGCCTTGCAATATCTTTTGGCTGCCCCATGCCCCATCRTCATTTAGAATGAGCTACTCAGTTCTTAATAGTCCTACTGGAATTATACAGATATTCACCATAGTGTCTATATTACTTTAATTCAAACCCTATTTACATTTCTTTTCCCTCCTAATTTGGATCTTGTATCAGCAGCACATACCACAATGCCCAAAATGTTTAATTATTACTTGTTGAATGAAAATTCTGGAGTAAGAAGCAAGGAGTTAGTGAATTAATGGACCCAAATAATATGAAGTAAAAATGAGCTGGCTATTCCTATAATCCCAGCTATCCAGAAAGCTGAGGCAAGAACAGTTCAAGGCCCACCTGGCCAACTTAGTGAGACCCTGTCTCAAAATAAAATGAAGATAAGGCCTGAGGATGAAGCTCATTGGTAGTGCTTGCCTAGCATGCACAAAGCCCTAGTTTTGATCCCCAGGAGTTCAAATGAAGAAAAAAAAATAAAAATGAAATGAGGGATTATTTACAGGGAGTGCAGTCTGAGGTGATCTTAGGAATCTTAGGACTACCTCAGAGAGCAGAAAGGTACTGTAGGTGGGAATAAGCAAGGGTGTGGTGGAGAATGGCAATGGGGGTCACCTAGATTGCCTATGTTGGGAAGTAAAAAGAGGATAAGTTTGGACTACTAGAGACATAGAAATAGTTAATAGAAACTCCTCAATGTTGCATATAAAGAACTTATATTTTATTTTGAAGTAAAAAAACAATTTGAAGTCCAGACTGTAGTCTTTCAATCTGGACAATGAGTGATTAAAGCAACATTTTAAAGAATTATTCAAATAAGTTTGTGCTTATATAAACCTCAGGTGTACAAAACATCAGGTTATGAAATAATAACTTTAGTCTGTGGGTCATCAGCTGATCCTGAAGTTTTCTTTCTTTGTGTTCTCATCCTACAGGTTGTTATTTTGTACTTTAAGCCAAGTACATTTCGCTGTATTCTTCTAAGATGGGTCCGTCTTCTTGGTTTTGCCACTGTTTATGGAACAGTCACTCTCAAGCTTCACAGGTATATTTTATTAGTCTTTCATTTCAATGGAAAGATCAGATTGTTTGGTTTCACATGTAATTGTAGGCTGGATTGGCCTTCAATGGTTTAATTTCAAGAATTTAGATAGCAAGATGATATATATTTTTCAGTTTCAAAGCAATTACTTTAAAGTCTCTAGGGAAATTTTTACTATAACAGAACTCTTTGATGCTTTAGTAAAATGTCCTCAATTATGGAAAGGGTTAGTTCTAAAAAAAATTAGAATGTTAAATAGTATTTACTAGCTAAAAACAGGAAGGAATGCAAAGACAATACAGCTGAAATGATGATTCATGTATGAGTTACCATGGAATCCTGTATGGGAGAATTGAGCTATATGCTTGTTTGACAAAAACTATTGTCCTCCATTCCTAATCTCCATGTTCCAGGGTAATCCTGCTGATAGATTCTATGAGCAAAGTTAATTTCTTGGTTTTCATCCTTAACTAGTATGTTTCAGTGATTATCAATCTTGACAATGAAGAATACCATAAATTTCTTTAGACTTGGTTTCAAAAGTAAATATACTAATAATGAGGCATTAAAACAAACTACCTGTCCACAGGGGCAAGGGTTGGCTTGAAATTATTGAAGACTTTTTTCTTGCCTCCTGTTTCCAAGTTTAAAAAAAATCTCAGTGATGTTGTGCCAAAAAACATARGAGAAAGAATTCTCCAGTAGGAATAAACTGTAATCATATAGAGAAAACTCTTGTATGAATTATCTTTAAACTTTTTGAAAACCATAGTAAGCCATTCATGCTAATTTGATAATAAGTGTTTCTAAGTAAAAGTCTTCRAATATGAGTCTGTATTACACAATGATTTATTTAAGATGTCATAATATGCTTCAGAAACATAATAACATTTGTTTTTAAATGTCTACCCTTTCAACCKTTTTTAAAAAATATACTAATTACACCACATAAGAATCTGKTTTTTTTCTTTTCCTTTCCTTTGTCTCTCTCCCTCCCTTCCCTTTCTAAATCTCCTTCCTCCTCTCCTTCTCTCTCCTTCTCTCTCTTTCTTTCCCCTCCCTCTCCCTCCATCTATCCATCCCTCCCTTTTTTCCTTCCTTCCTTCCTTCCTTCCTTCCTTCCTTCCTTCCTTCATTTTCTTCTTTTCCATACTTAATTACTAGGAATGCTCCAAATTATCTTTTTGGAACAAATATGAATATTCTTGACTCTCAAGATTTCTTTGTTATATACATGGTAAATTGCAAAGAATATTGGAATGACTTTGAGATGATCCGATTTAAATCTGAATTTGGCTTCTTATCTAGGAAATCAAGGCCTGTCTTTCTTATAAAGGAGAGGCTTGGACGATCTAAAATGTTCTTTCTGGTTTTCCCTCACTTGTTCCACATTATAGCATACTTTGCTGCTGTTTCCTTCTGCTCTTGAAGTGCCTTCCAGATTTCCCATTCTTTATATGATAGCTATTTCAACTGATACTCACTAAAGAAGATAAGAAATCAATGGGAGCATTTAGTAYACTATAACCCTTCTAGAAATTCTGAAAGAAAAGGTATACTTCTGTGTTTTGAAAATTACCTCTTACCCTACTAGTCTAATGCTTAGTGTCTATTGGGGTCTCTGTTGTAATACTTTCACAGCTTTATAGTTTTCTTAATTATTTTTTTCTTCACTAATTTACCTTCTCCTTGAGAGTCTTACCACTGAACCCTAGCACTCAGCACAAAGACAGACTGATACATGAAAGGTATTTAAAACTAAAAAGCTGCTTTTCAGCAAAGGAAACAATCAAAAAGGTGAAAAGAGTGCCTACATAATGGGAGAAAATCTTTACCACAAGCACCATTTGACCAAGCTATTGCACTCCTCAGTATATATCCAAAGGATTTAAAATCATCATATTACATTGACACAACCACATCAATGTTTATAGCAGCTCAACTCACAATAGCTGAAGTATGGAACCAACCTAGGTACCTACCTTCAAGAGAGGACTGGATAAAAAAATATATACACAGTGGTATATTATTCAGCCTCAAACAGGGATGAAATTATGGCATTTGCTGGTAAATGAATGGAGCTGGAAAACATCATGCTAAGCAAAATAAGCCARTCTCAAAGAACCACAGGCCAAATGTTTTCTCTGACAGGCAGATGCTAATTCACACTAAGGGTGTGGGTAGGGAAGAATAGAGGTTACTTTGGATTAGACAGAGGGGAGTGAAGGGAGGGGAGAGGGTAAAGAAGTAGGAAGGATTGATTGTAGAATTAATCAGACATTATCACCCTATGTGCATGCATGATTATACCACTGGTGTAACTCTACACCCTGTACAACCAGAAAAATGAGAAGTTATAGTCTATTTATATATGATTTGTCAAAATGCATTCTTGTGTCATGTATAACTAATTAGAACAAATTAAAAAACATTAATGGATGAGTGAATGAATGAAAATGTCAGATGCAACTTGGCAACACTACTCATAGTGCTCACCACACATAATATATTCACATTCCCTAAATTACTGTGTGCTACCCCATTGTATTCCCAAATGTCTGGAACACATAACTCTGTTTTGAGTGAAGGAAATTTGGTAGAATTTGAACACAGTATAAAATACCACTGAATGATAAAGTGGTAAAATTACTTCTATTCTGATTCTCTTTCAATCATTTTGATTATTTCCAGGAGAAAGACAGAACTAGTAGGTATTAATACCTGTCTGATAGTTGATATTGAAACAAAGAACAGATCAGGCTTCAGGCTCACAGTTTTTCACTGTAATTTGCTTTTTTAAAGATTCATTATTTTTGTTTTACTCTCTATATTTTTATAGTTATTTTTCATTTTCAAAAATTGTTATCTATTGTTTTTTCTTTAAGATAATATAAAGTTTTTAAAAAATATTTTAAAGCAGAAATAGAAACTGATTTTAAAAAAATACTAGCTGGTCCACAGATAATCTTAGGGGTGTAATTTGAGAAACTAGTTTACTTCATTATCTCTTTTGTTCATTTTAAAGACTGGAACTAAAACTATTTTTTTCTCTATGTGGCTCTGAAAGTCATTGCAGTGAAGAATTACTCCACTAAAGGCTTAAATTGGCTGGAAACTATTTCTAATTTAATGAGCTGAATTATTCTTATCCTGTTATGAACCATATGGCTTTACTATTATATTCTGGATTTTATTTTCCATATTTCTTAAATTTAGCAGGTTATAATACTGTTTGTCAGTAAACTGAACAATCAGCATCCAAAAAAATGTGAGCAACTTGAAGGAAGGATGGCTAAGCCAGCTTTGTATTAGGCTTTACTTTGCCCATATTATGTATTCAGGTAGTTTTTTTTTTTTTAATAAATGAATGGGTGGATGGTTCTAGTAAATGGAGCCACAAGGTATGTTCTTGGTTGGTATTCCTGAAGAGTCAAGCAACCTGTAACTCTGAATAAAGGACATCTAAGCTTTTCAGTGACAAGATAAAGAAGAAATGCATAAATCTTGACAAACCAAATTTGAATTTCATTTCTACCATTACCTATTTATACTAGCAAGAATAAATTAACATCTGAGAATCAGCCTTCTTATCTATAAAATGGTTTAATATCTCACTTGAAAAGTTGGAAATATTAARTATAATTTGAATGTACATAAATATACCCGTTTGGAATTGGGAGTTGCGAACCACAAGAACTGACATTAAACATTAAAGGAATTTACTGGAAGGATGTGGGGAAGGTCACAGAATTAAAGGGAAAGTTACAGAATCAAGCTGTAGGAGGACCTGATMCAGAGTATGTTATCAAAGTAGACTTGGCTAAGGGGTAATGTCTCTTGAATGCCATAGTCCATTTTCACAAGAATTTCATTTTTCATTTCAAGATTTTTTAAAGTAAAATTAAGTCATATCCCTCTACACAGAAAATTCTAAGAAAATTATGAGTATAGATATATAAAATAAGTGTTAGAGTTCCTTAAATTGGCAAGAAAGACAGGAGTTTTCATTTTATTCCAGCATTTCTCTCAAGCATTAGTGGAAATATTGAACATTTCTTTCTCTATCACCTGGTGTGGCACTGATTGATTATAGTGTTTATAGAATTTCTAGAGCATTGAAAACTAAAGGACACATGAAGAAGATATAGGATCTTGTTGTATCTTTGGAAATGGTAATGTTTAGTCTGGGAAGGAAACTTAAAAGCATTTACTTTTTTATTATTTATTTATTTGTTTGTTTGTTTATTTATTTATTTTGGTGGTGCTGGGAATTGAACCCAGGGCCTTGTACATACAAGGCACTCTACCAACTGAGCTATATCCCCAGCATTTACTTTTATCAAATCTCTGATTTTTTCCTCTGGTGATCTCTTCCTACATTTGCAGCCATACAGCCAAAGACTATCCTAACAATCCAAAGGAAAAAGCCCTCTGATTATTAACACAGTACAACACAAAGGTGTGCAAAGTTGGGGTCAGGTTGGGGTGGAATGTTCTGTCCTTTCTTAGAGGAGTATTTTAGCACTGACATAATTTAGAATCACCAGCATTCGGGATGATCCAAAGCAAACCAAATTTTATTTGTTGATCAGTTTATTTATAGTTRTGGGGATTGAATCCAGGGCCTTACACATGGTAAACACTCACTCTACCACTGAGCTATATCCCCAGCCCCAGACAGACTTTTAGTTATCTTTATTATGCCCTTTCCTTTTCTCTAGACAACAGTCTGTCTCCCTTAATGGCAGGCCATCCATGCAATGCAGTTTATTTGAACCTGAATCTGTACCTCTTTAGAGAAAGAAAAAGAATGGAATTAGTTTTTGCTAGTTAAGTATCAATCATAAGGGGAAAAAAAAGAACTGAAATAGGCAAAAACAAAGAAGATTCATTTATAGAAGGTATTTGTTTCTGTAACCAGAGATAAATTTGATTTGGTACATGAATGATGTCAGGTGGATCTAAACAGACATCTAACACTTCCATGAATATCTGCTAAGCCA